TAAGATTTAGGCACCTAAAAATGAATGGTGGAGATTGAGGCGCCTAAGGTTGAAAGGTGGAGATTAAAAGGAGTGGGTGGCGCCCTAGAGTGGATGGATAAAATAAAGAATGAAATAGAGGGCTGAGATCTAGTGCCTAAGGGCTGAATGGTAAGGATTAGAAGTTAGGTGGCACCCTAGGGTTAAAAAGCTAAAAAGAGAGAGCCCTATAATGAATGGTGGAGATTAGAAGGGATGGAAAGTGGAGATTTAGCAGATAGGGGTGGCTAAGGTTTGTTAAGGATGAAAAGAATGAGTTAGAAGGCGCCCTAGGGTTTGCTAAGGAAAGGGGAGCATGCTAATACAGTAGGAGGGGCGCCATTCTGGGTTTAGTAGATAGGAGACGCCCTCTTGTGCTCAGTTTTTCACAAAAACACCCATTCTCTCAGTTGGACTTCATACTAGCTTTCCAAAAACTGCATTTCAGCTATGAAACTTCCCCAGTTTTTCACAAGATTTGCACAGAGATCCTCAGAGGTCACAGTATTGAAATTAACTGGGAAAATGAAACATTTTGACTATTCTAAGGCCTAAAATACCCCTGAAATGATGCCATTAAAGCATCAAAATACATAGTTATCAATGATGGTGGGTGATCTAAATGATATAATAGATGGACAAGACTATAGAGGTTGTAACCTCTGATCTAACAAAATTTCAAAACATCTAAATAAAATAATTCAGGACTATGCCCTCCTCGAAATTGAATCCACAAGGGTTAGATATACTTGGTCCAATGGCAAGAAAGGGATTTTGTGTGTAAAAAAGAAATTAGGCAGGGGATTAGCAACACCTTGGTGGCATGAGAGCTTCCTAGAAGCAAAAATCTGAGCCTATAGAAATATTTTCTCATTCCATGCGATACTTCTAGTAAACACTGCTCCACACACAATATTAGGTCCAAAACAATTCCACTTCCTACCCTTGTGGGCTGAAGAGGAAGAGTGTAAAAACATTATTGAAGAAGAATGGAACCATAATCAAGGAAATGTGTGCCAAAAATTGAGGAATTGCAAAAAGAAACTCAAAAAGTGGAACATGGAGAAATTTGGACACATTGAAAAAAAAAAAAAACTGAAAGAAGTGGAGGAAGAAATACTGAAGATGGAGACAACTTGGGAATCCAGCGATAGTAAAAAAGGAGTGGACCTGAGGAGAGAATATGGAACCTGGTTGAGAAGGGAAGAACAACTGTAGAGATTAAAATTTAGGGAACTCTAGCTAAGGGATGGGGACAGAAAAAGAAATTCACTTGAATTTTTGAAAAATGATAAGGGTAATAATGTCCAAACATTGGAAGAAATAGCCCTAGCTTTCAAGCAACATGCAATCCTTACAAGTGGTCCCCAACTAGAAGAAGAATTTGAAACCCAAGACCTTATACCCAACAAGATTTCAGAAACTGAGGCTGCAAAATTAGTTAGACTGCCATTAAATGAGGAAATCGAAGGAGTAGTCAAGTCCATGAGAGCTCACTTTGCACCAAGACCAAATGGCTTCACCCCCTTCTTCTACCAGAAATATTGGGGAATAATAAAAGCAGACATTTGCAAGTTTGTTAGAGAATTCTTCGATTCAGGCCAAATGCCCTAAAACCTGAATTCCACTAACCTTGTATATATCCCAAAAGTCAAAAACTCAGAAAAAAAAATTCAACAATATGCAACCCCTCCTTGATAAATTAATTGCCCCCAATCAATCAGCCTTTATAAAAGGAAGACTAAGGAGTGTATAATATTTTGGTGGCAAAAGAAGTAGTCCACAAGCTAAGAAAATAAAGGAAAGGAATAGGTTGGGTTCTATATTGAAGATAGATATGTCCAATGCTTATGATAGAATGAGGAGGGATTTTATTATCCAAATGTTGAAAGAAATGGGATTTACAGAAAAGTAGTGTCAATGAATAGAAGCATGTATAAACACCCCCACATTCTCCACAAAAATCAATGGCACCCAAAAAGAACACTTCCAACTCAATAATGGGATTGGGGAAGGTGATTCATTATCACCTTACCTGTTCATAATAGGCATGCAAGCTCTCTCCAGCCTTCTTGAAAGAGCGGAGTAGAATAAGGAGTTGTAGGGTATCAAAATATGTAGAGGAGGTACTGCAATTAGCCACTTACTATTTGCTGATAATTGCCTGATAATGTGCAAAGTGGATGTAGCTTAGGTGAGAAGAGTGAAGGAAATCCTGAAAAAGTTTGAGGAAATTTCAAGGGAGAAAATAAATATGGCAAACAGAGATTTTCTCCTAGGCACCTTTTTTCCTGTGTACATAGGAAAAAAAAAAGAAAAGAAAATATTACTTCATATGCTACAAATGAAATCATTAAAAGCTCAAGAAAGGTGCCTAGGAGAGAATCTCTGTTTACAAGGAAAACATGTTTCGTCCCATCAAGAAATAATGGAGAAGATGAACTCTAAACTAGCCACTTGGAAAGCAAAATTTCTGTCACAAGTGGGTAGAACAATTCTTGTCAAGTCAGTTTTGCAGGCCTTGCCTACATATACGATGCCCACCTCCATCCTGGGAAAAAACAATAAACCAAATGAAAAAAATACAAAGAAATTTCTAGTGGGAAAGCTCTTTAACAAATACTAGAATGCACACAGTAGCATGGCACAAGATGTGTAAACAAACCCAAGAAGGAGGGAGGCCTGGGATTTAGGAAGATAGGTGAATTTAATAAAGCACTATTCCTGAAACAAGTGTGGAGGCTTCTCACAAGTAGACAAGGGTTGTGAGTTCAAATCAAGGAAAAATACATTAAGGACAAATCATTGTTCCTCTTGAAAAAGAAGCCTCATGATTCCCCATGGTGGAAAATAGTCATTACCATATTGGAGGAAATAAAAAAGTGCCTTTTTTTGGCAAATCAAAGAGGGCTCTAAGATTCATATACTTGATCATTGGATTCCAACACTTCCAAATGGAACCCCTCAACTACAAAGCAATGTCAACATCCCCACAAACATCACTAGAGTCAGGGACATCCTCCTTGAGAATGAGAACTGGAATATATAGGCTCTTAGAGAGCTATTCACTACGAATATAGTGAAGCACATCACTCATATACACAAGTCTTCTCAGCTCAATGAAGACAAGCTAATTTGGAAAGAGTAAAAAACAACTGCCTATTGCGTCAAATCATGTTACATATTTTCTACCAATCAAAACCCATCACCATCACAACCAGCTGCTCCTTGGAAAGTTATATGGAACACAAAAGTTCCTCCAAGGTTCCAATTATTCAGGTGGAAAGCTTGTTGGAATGGAATAAAAACCAAAGATAGAATGATCTTTCTCAAAGAACAAGATCAGTGCTACTCTTTATGCAATGTGGAAAAAAAAACATAGCAGCATGTGTTTTTCTCATGTCACTATGCCAGAGCTGTGTGGCTCCTTGCCCAAATAGGAATAAACCCAGATGATCTCCAGAATAGACACCTTAATCAATATCTATCATATTGGATTGAATCTAAGCTAAGCTACCTCCCTATAGACAATCAGAAGAGCTACATTGAAGAATTTCTTATTCCTTTTAGGTTCATTTGGGGCATGCGAAATGCAAAAGTCCATCGCCAACTCACTTCACACCCAAGCCCAGTTACTTGAAATGGCTGATTCATTTATGAGCCTACGTCCACATTTAACAGAGAAAACACAGAAGAGGAGAACAATCTCTGGACCACTTGATATATACAGATGGAGCCTTCAGAATAGGTACAGGAAATGTAGCTATTGGTTTCATAATACTAGCTAAGGACTTATCAGTTGTGCATGTAGAAGGTCGAACAATCAAAGCTTCATTAACAGCCCAGGCCGAATGGAGAGCAGTAATCGAAGGGTTAAAGGCAGCAAGTAGGCTTAATATCAGATCAGCTTTAGTTTTTTGTGATTCAATCAATGTGGTACGAGCTATACAGGAAGAAGGTGATGTAGAATGGGACCTGTTACATCTCAGATATTAACTTCGAAATTTTTTGCTTGATTTTGATAATAATATATGTATAAATCATATTAGCCTCGCGTACAATGCATGTAAGATTGTAAATATAACAAACCCTGGTAGAGAGTAGCAGCAGCAATCCTATGTGTAATGCTTCTGTTATATCCTTAAAAAAAATTCAATCAAGCTGGGTATTACAAAATTTATCTAGTTCGTAGTCCTAGAGCTATAGGCTCTAGTCCTACTGTGGGTATAAGCCCATTATCTGCCCATGGATCTTCATCGGTTGATCGTTGTACCTACTTAGAAGTTGTTGAGCAGACATGAAACCCCATCATCCAAGACTTCCAAGCCAGTTGGCAGGTCTTTTCTACGTGTCGGGTTCTATTTGCCATTCTTGAGTGGAATCCATTGTTGGATCCCCCAATAGCAATTCATCTTGGAACGTGTAAATAAGAAAGTTACAAGACCACACGTTGTCTCTTTCTCTTTYTTTGTGGATCCAGCAGAAGGATCCGACCCCAGTGGTTTTGACGAGACCGGATCTGCTCCTCACACTTGGCGCCTCACACGCACATGTAAAGCGTCCATTTTTGAGGAACCGATTCCGCTTCCGTTTTGACTCCACATCTGCTATCCATACCCTACCCACAGGACATCACAGCCGCACGTCGGATCATCTCCCATGAATCACACATCCAAATGTGTCTTGTCTTGTGGGTAGGGTGCAGATCCGAGATGATCTTGCAATGCAAGTGGTTTCCTTCGCGCAGCTTTACGGATTGATGCTCCAAGATCCAAGTCCAAGTCCAAGTCCAAGCCCACCACCCCAAAATGCAAGTACTGCTACCTCGCAGGTCGCAGCAGACGCAGCTTGCCATACAAGTAAATGCGAAACAGACATGGCGGGTCCCACAAAAGTGGAGGATCCTCAGTAATCCTCACTCCTCAGTAATGGAGGGCGTCCCTCAGGGACTATAAAAAAATTTGCAACATTAACAGGGGTAAACAAAAAAAAAAGAGGATACAGAGAAACCTCTGGAGCGGCATTTTATGCTCCTCTTTCCTTTCTATGAATCTATCTCATCTCTATTTCCTCTCTCCCTTCTCCCTCGCCATGGCGATTCCACTGAACCAATTCCAACAACAACAATCCAAATCTTTGAGGTGCAAAGAATAATAAGAAATGAATTCTACTCCTTTTAAATTCCTGAAATGAATCATAAAAGCTATCCAGTTTCATTATCCACTCTTCAATCATATATAAATATTGTTTTCTTTTTATTCTTTTTTTCTGATTTCTGCTATTTTGTTTCTTCTTTCTTTTATCCAGAAATTTGTTATCTATGGATGGTCAGATGTCATCACCGGTCGCCTTCTTCAACTCCACAAATTTCGCCGATCAATCTCAACCCCAATATATCTCTCCCTGTAACCAATCTCTCCTGAGATTTTCTTCATCTCCATTATTTTTCCTGTAAAATATTTTAGTTATTTACTTCATTTTTTTCTGTTTTTTTAGTTCACGTGGCCGGATTTGCTCCTGCTCCGACTCCGGCAACAGACTGTGGCGGCGGCGATATGCGGTGGAAGAATGGTTCGGAGCCGAAGAAGAAAAGGTTAAAAGAACAGGATTTCTTGGAGAACAACTCCCAGATATCTTCGGTGGATTTCTTCCAAACACGGTCGGTTTCCACAGGTTTGGGGTTGTCACTGGATGATAGGCGTATGGCATCTTCAGGTGATTCACCTCTTTTCTCGCTCCTCGATGACGATATCGATGGGGAATTGCAGAGACAAGAGGCGGAGATGGATCGATTCGTCAAAGTTCAGGTCTGCCTTTGTATTCGATTTTTTCCCAATTTTTTGGAACGATAAAATTAAACCCTGTGAAACAGAAGAAGTATGACGGATGCAGGATTTTGCAGTCTTCGTTTTTTCTACAATATTTTAGAAAAAAAAAACAATTTTTGTTTGATCAACTCTGAAGACATTGGGAATGCGTTGTCCATTTAACCTATTCATTTATGCATGAAATCTAATTAATTTTAGGTTTGATGTCTCAAATTCTTTACTAGATTCTATACTACTTAGTTCTAAAATGCCTTGAACTTCTCAGACCTGCCTGAAATCTTTAGGATATCATATGTATAAATCTTTCTCATGTAATTTGCAGATTAGTTATATTATAAAACCTATCTTCTTCCTTCCTCACCCCAAATAAAAAAATTAAATGGAAGGAAAAAAAGGGAGAGCAGAAGGAAGAAGGAAAGGTTGCTTGTTCGAGGTCTGTACTATGGTTTCCCTTTTTGTTGGATTGCCGGGAATTTACTTGAGAAATTCTCAAAGCCTTGAAGAAAGGGGAAGGCAAAAGAGGTGTTGCTATTTTATTTTGTTTTTCCTTGAGCACTATTAGAATCTTATTTACTTTTTTTTTTTTTAACACTAACAGGGTGAGCAGATGAGGCAAGCAATCCTAGAGAAGGTTCAGACAAATCAGATCCAAACTCTAACTATTGCAGAAGAAAGGATCCTTCAGAAGCTCCGTGAAAAAGAAGCAGAGGTGGAAGACATAAACAAGAAAAACACAGAGCTTGAAGAGCGAATGAAACAGTTGAGCATGGAAGCAGGTGCTTGGCAGCACAGAGCAAAGTGCAATGAGAACATGATAACCACCCTCAAGTTCAATCTCCAGCAAGTTTTTGCTCAAAGCAGGGACAGCAAGGAAGGATGTGGTGACAGTGAGGTAGATGACACAGCCTCTTGCAATGGTGAATCTATTGATTTTCACCTGGTTTACAAAGAGAACAAGGATCTAAAAGAGTTGATGACTTGTAAGGTTTGCAGAGTCGATGAAGTTTGCATGCTGCTATTGCCCTGCAGGCATCTATGCCTGTGTAAAGATTGTGAGAGTAAGCTTAGTTTCTGTCCCTTGTGTCAGTCCTCAAAATTTATTGGCATGGAGGTCTATATGTAGTGGGTCAACTTTCATATGATATTAGAGTTATATGTACATCCATCTTATTGATCTTGTTTACCGTGATTATCATTAATTTGACGTTTTCCCTTCAATTATATCCTCATTTTACATTTTTTTTGGCGGGGGGTTCACAGTTTGTGTCTCATGAGTCAAGTCTTGATTTCTGACAAAAACTAATGGGTGGAATTTTTAATTTTGAATGGTCTGCGGAGGATACGATGCACAGGGGAATCATAAAACATAAAATTGGCTAGTGCAGTTTCTCTATTAGAAATTATAACTTGAACTTGCTTATTTTCTAATGTAACTGCTAGACATAATATTTTGCTTTCTGTGCACCTTATGCTTTCCTCAATATAGCATCAAATTCCTGCATTCAATTAAGAAAAAATGAACCCCTGTCAACTTATATGGTAGGCATGCAGTGGGAACCAATGAATAGTAGCACTGTTATTTGAACTAACTAATGGTAGTGGGCTTCTTAAATGAATAGCAACATCAAATGGGGCCAATGGGGCCATGGTGTCTTTTGCTTCTTAGCTAATGTTGTTCTCAACCTGACTCTATTATACAACCACCTACTCTGTTTCAATAACTGTGTCTCCTTGGAAACATAAAATCTTATGGTTCTGTATCAAACTGAAGGATATCCATTTGGCAGCAGCATAAGCCTAGGCCTGCAACTCTTCTCAGGATGATGTTGGAAATAGTAACTATGTCTAGGAGGTCCTCTGGATATCTATAGGAGTTATATAACTGCTTGAAGGTAAAATAGCTAGGGGGCTGCCATGGATGTATCTAGAATGTGTATCCATTGAAGAAATGGGGATGAGATAAATCAACTTGCAACTAACTGCTTTATGTTCTGTTCAGCTATTTATTTGCATTTACTTAACAGAGCTATATAGTAGGTATTTAAATTTAAGGAGAGTAAGTAATTTCCTTGCAATAGCTGGGGTAAATTGAATATGCTATGTCTGTTCTCATTTTTGAAATATTATATTATATACATGTTTGAGTATGTAGCATCCAATTAAAGAAAGTGTATTAAGAGTAAACAAAATTGCCAAGTGGTTTGAGTATGTAGCATCCAATTATATTAGTGGCTCTGTAAGGGGAAATGGGAAGTGGTTTGAGGCTGGCAAAGAGTAAACAAAATTACCAAGTGGTAATTCAGGCAGCATCTTATGGTTCTGTATCCTTAGAGTTGTTCCTGGACAAGAAATTTTGATGATTATCAATTTATCATACCTCTATTCTGCGTAGGAGTAGAACTTATTTGCCCTAGCTTTGGAAATAAGAGGTTGAAAAGAAAAGGAAAGATGAAATGGAGGCCATGGGTTGAAGGGAGTGCTATTGGTGGTTACATAACAAGGAACACTGCATCAAGCTGGTCAGTTGATTCCAGCTGCTTTTAGGGTCACTTGTTGGGCTCTTTGTTAGGCTGTGTTTGGCTTGAAAGTAGGGAAAGGTAGGGAAACCTGTACAAGGCTTGTATAGTTTTCTCTATCTTTCCCTACCTTTTTCTTCAAAAGTACAGCCTTAAGGTGTTGACTTCTCTTGCTTTATGGAGAAAGTGCATACCATTGGCCACTCAAATACTAGGAAGATACTTCATAACTTCTTTAGCATGTGTATCTTGGCCGTGGAATTACTCACTCTTCTCTTCCTTTTTATTCCCCAAGACAGTGGCCATATGGTAATTCTATTTCTTCCTTTTCTACGTATGGTTTTGTCCTCTATTTCATGAAGTTCTCTCTCTCTCTCTCCAACGGATCTATCCTTTGGATGATGGTTCTATTTGCCATCTTTTGGTCTATTTGAAAAAAAAATGATATTTTAATCGTATGGTTTTAAGGGGAGTGGAAACTTCTCTTCTGGGGCACTCTGTAGAAGTTACTAGCTTCTTGATAGAATAGGCATTGGATTTAAAGGATTATGTCCTCAAACTACAGGGATATTATATTTAACCGACCCTAGTTTAGGCTTTGAGGCCCTTTCTTGTTAATCTTAAGGTTTTTATTTTTTTATTTTTTTATTTTTATTTTGAGAGGGGGAAGTTGGTCGATGGATTTTGGTTCCCATTGACTAACAATCACATGTTCTTTTTTTAGATTAATTTGAGGACCGGAGGAAGTTTATTTTCTTGGTTATCACTTATCCAGGTAAGTGATACCCATCTCTTAGGACCTGGGAGAAAAGTTGCCAACACTTGAATGGGACAAAAATGTTCTTTTTAATAATAGATTTTTATGGCTAAAATGGTCATTGTCTTTTTTATTTGGGAAATAAAAGAACATGTGTAAATACATTTATTCATGTAAGTATTTTTCAGGAAAAATTTACTCAGTTAATTGCATTTACCCGGATAAATGACTTGCAAAGAGTGAACGGGGCCTTGAGATAAATCATAAATGTAAATGAAATACTTCCGATTGTTAATGGAATGAGAGATTCCTGTATCAGTGTGGCTGTCTCATTGTTTCATAATCAAGGTTAAGTTAGGATTCAAGTGGAGGATCTCGGCTAGAGGTGTAATGTGGGCTGCGCTACATTGCACTGTAGCGGGCCGAGGGAAGACTGGCATGGCCCAAGGCTCGGACCCAGCAGGCCACAGGCCAGCATGATTTTTTTTAAGAAAAATTGGAAAAAAAATGAGAAATTAAAATAAACTAATAAGATAAGACAATAATTTGAAAAAAAAATGACATTTTATTTCATAGGAAATTTTGTGTATAAGTTTATATATAAAATAATAAAATGAAATGAAAAAATACAACAAAATTGGAATGAGATAGCCAGGCCCATGACTGTGTCAGCACAAGCCCACACGGGCTGCAGGCTGGTACTGTCCGTGGGCCATAAACTCTCAGCCTGACATGGCCTGTTACTGTAGTTGGCTGGCCGTGCCATGCCATGGGTGGCCGGGCCCGTTTTAAGACTAGATGCTTCTGTTAATGCCATATCCATTGTTGGTAGACGTGGAAAAGTTTTTCAAATCTAATATATATATTAAAGTAATGATTTTAGGCCAAAGCCTCGTACAGTTAGACATATGGCTCATTTACATTCAGACACCTGTCATTCCAAAGATTTAAAAAAAATGGACATGTATCAAATTCTGATTAGCAATAGTTCAAGAATAGAGCCCACGACATGTATCAAAATCTGATTAGTGGTAGTTCAAGAAAAGAACCCACTAACACGGAGAGTGGAGCCTACCACCATGAATAGTTGTGAGAAGTGGGAAGCTCCCACTTTCAATCATTTCCTAAAAAAAAAAGGAAACTGTGTTATTAATTAATGATAAGTAATAACTAATTAATTAATACAAGTTATTGATTACTAATAATAATTACTGTTAACTACTTTTAATTAATTAATTACAACTATTAATTATTAATAATAATTATTGCTAATTACTAATTAATTATTGTTAACTACTTTTAATTAATTAATTCCATCTATTAATTAATTATTGAAAATTATTTCTTATAATAATTACTGTTAATAATTAATTACTGATAATTTATTACTCACAATATTGCTCATTATTAATTTGAAATGGTGATTAATTAATGATAATTAATAAATATTTTCATAATGGTAATTAATAATTCGGAAATAGTCATTTTATATTTATATTAACTCATATTAATTATTTTGAAAATAAATATTTAATGTTAATTACTTATATTATAATTATTATCAGAAATTATAATTCATACATTTATGTGAAATAATTAATTATATTATTATAAGTAACTATAATTAATAATATTATATTAGTTAATATAATTATATTATTATTATTATCAATAATTATAATTAATTATTAGTAATACTAATGATGATAATTATTACTTCAGAATGTTAATTGATTAATGATAATTAATAAGAATTTTAATAATGTTAATTATTAGTTATTATTATTACAAGTAATTATAGTTAATACTAATATTATAATTAATTCTATTATTATTCTCCAATAAATACGTCATTTACTGAAAGTTAAATTATAAAACTTTTTATTATTCAATATTGTTAAACTTAAAGAATTATAAAAGCAAATATTATTTTATGAATTAACTAAAAATCGTATTTATAACAAATTAATTACTTAATAAAAATAAAAATAAAATAATAATAATAATAATAATAAATAGTAATAATAATAATAATAATACTTTAATATTACTGATTTCAAAATCAATACACACATAATAAGAGTATACAATTAGTTAATAATAATATACTTATTATTATTATTGATTTCATATATATTAATATATTATTAATCTATTAATAATACTAATTATTATTGAAAAATGTTAATAGAAAATTTTAATTACTTAAAATTATTTGCTGAAATTACCCATTTTAATTCGGATAGATAATTAATTAATAATTTAAATTTCTTAAAATTATTATTTACTAAATAATTTTAAATACTCTTTGACTATAGACCTTATTTTTGAACAATTGGTTTTTTATGTTCAATAATTTTTTTTTTACAAAAATCCAAATAATTTTTCATTTGCAATGTTAGCCATTTTATTTTTCTCTTGTTTAGATTTTCAATCGATAATAAAAATTAATGATATTTACCTGTTTTTATTAAATTATGTATTTATCAAGTTGTAGTCATTGATGATTATGAGTCAACTTTTTGAAAGAGAGGAGTACTAATAATAATTAATGACTTTTAATTAATTAATTTCATCTATTAATTACTAAATAATAATACCTTACTGATAATAATTTCTTATAATAATTACTGGTATTAAATAATTACTGATAATATTTCTCATTATTAATTCAGAATGATAATTAATAACGATTTTCATAATGGTTATTAATAATTCAAAAATAATAATTTTATATTTATATTAACTCATATTAATTATTTTGAAAATAAATATTTAATGTTAATTATTTATATTAGAATTGTTATCAGAAATTATAATTCATACATTTATATGAAATAATTAATTATATTATTACTATCTGTAATTATAATTAATACTTATATTAATTAATATAATTATATATTTATATTAGTATTATTATTAATTATTACTAATAATAATGATTT